TTTTTACTTCGATTTCTCAATTTTTCAACTTTTCGATGATTTGATTTTTCAATTTTTAAAATTTTTCGATTTCAATTTTCAGTTCAATTTTCCAATTTTCCGAATTTTTGAGTTTTCGATTTTCCAATTTTTCTTTTTCAAAATTCCCCGATTTTGCAATTTTCTGATGCCTGGATTTATTAATTTTTCAATTTTTAGCTTTTCTTCTGGTCTTTCCATTCCTCGATTTCTCGATTTTTGGACTTCTAGACGTCCCAGTTTTTGAATTTTTCCATATTCCGATTTTTGGATTTTTCGGTTTTCCGAATTTTTACTTTTTTTTCAATTGTTCGATTTTCCAATTTTTCGATGTTTCCATATTTCAGTTTTTCGATTTTTAAGAATTTTAGATTTTCGAATTTTATTTTTTCATTTTTTAATGTTTGGATTTGTCCATTTATCAATTTTAAATTGCTCCATGTTTTAAATTTTAGATTTTTCGATTTCTCGATTTTTTTTATTTTTCAGTTGTTCTGTATTTCTCGTTTTCAATTTTTCAGATTTTGACATTGCTAAATTTTTGGTTTTCCTATTTCTAGATTTCTTGAAATTTCGATTTTTTAGTTCTTCAATTCTTAGATTTTTCGGGTTTGCTTTTTTGGTTTTTCGATTTCTCAATTTTCCAATTTTTTAAATTCTGAAATTTTGGATATTTCTTTCAGTTTTGGGATTTTCCAGTATTTTGATTCTCCAACTTTTTGATTTTTTATTTTTTGTATTTTCATTCAATTCAATTTTTCGACTGTTTTATATTTCGATTTCGCAATTTTTCAACCTTTAGATATTTTAATTTTTTTACTTTTAAAATTCCGGATTTTTCAATTTCTCGAGTTTCCAGTTCTATTAGTACAGTAGTATTATAGTATTTATATTTTAATTTTTCAATTTTTTATCGAAATTCGGATGTTTGGATGTTTTGATTGTTCAATCAATCTTTCAATTTTTCCATTTTAAACTTTTCGATTTTTCGATTTTTTAAATCTTCCAGTTTCGGTTTCTCAATTAATCTATTCTTGAGTTTCCCATATCTGGACTTCTCGAAATTGCGATTTTGCGGCTTTGCTTTTTTGGTTTTTTGATTCCTCAATTTTCCATTTTTTTAATTTCTTAATTTTTGGATATTTCTTGCAGTTTTGCGATTTTCCAGTATTCTTTAATTTTTCGATTTTTCGACTTCTAAATTTTTCGATTTTTCGATTTTTTATTTTTTGTATTTTCAGTTTTTTGTTGTTTAAACTTTAGAATTTTCAATTTTTCGATATTTTAATTTTTCAATTTTTAAAATTCTAGATTTTTCAACTTCTCGTGTTTTCAGTTCTTCTATATGTTAATTTTTCAATTTTCCGAAATTATAAATTTTCAATTTTTCAATTTTTTCAGATTTTGATTTATCGAGATTCGTATGTTTTGATTGTTCAATCGCTCGATTTATCAATTTTTCCATTTATAACTTTTCGATTTTTAGGCTTCTTTACTTTTCGACTCCTTGATTTCTAGATCTTTTGATTTTTCGATTTCTCAATGTCTCAGTTTTTAAATTTTTCGATGTTTCGATTTTTGAATTATCCGATTTTTCAATTTTCCAATTTTTTAAATTTTCGGGTTTCGATATCTCAATTGATCTATTTTTTTATTTTCCCATTTCTAGACTTCCCAAAGTCTCAATTTTTCAGTTCTTTAATTGTTCAATTTTTCGATTTTTCGGGTTATAGATTTTTCAATTTTACGGTTTTTAAATATTTCGATTTTTCAATTTTTCAAATTTTGACGTTTCTAAAGTTTCAGTTTTCCGATTTGTGCACTACTTAATATTTTTTTTTTCATTTTCCCATTTCTCGACTTCCCAAAGTTTCGATTTTTTTCAATTCTTCAATTTTTCAATTTTTCAGGTTTATTGATTTTTCAATTTCTCGATTTCCTAAGCTTAGGATTTTTCGACTTTGCTTTTTTAGTTTTTCCATTTTTCATTTTCCCAATTTTTTAATTTCTCAATTTTTTGGATGTTTCTCTCAGTTTGCGACTTTTCAATATCTGGATTTTGCGACTTTTCGGTTTTTGGAGCCCTGGATTTTTTGATTTCGCGAGTTTTTACTTTTTGAGTTCTCAATTTTTCGTTAAACTTTAGATTTTTCATTTCTCGGCTGTTTTATATTTCGATTTCTCAATTTTTCAACTTTTCGATGTTTTAATTTTTCAATTTTTAAAATTCTAGGTTTTTCGATTTCTCGAGTTTTCAGTTCCTCTATATTTCGATTTTTTTTCTTTAAAATTTTTCGATTTTTCAATTTTTTGATGTCTCGATTTATCGAATTCAGATGTTCTGATTGTCAGTTTCTGGATTTATCAATTTTTCAATTTTTAATTTTTCTTCTCGGCTTTCTATTACTTGATTAACGATTCTCTAATTTTTCGAAGTTTTGAATTTTGGATTTCTTGGTTTTTCGATTCTTTAATTTTAGGCTTTTCAATTTTTCGATTTTCCAATGATGTTTTGATTTTTCAGTTATTCGATTATGCAGTTTTTAAATTTTTAAGATTTAGAATTTTCGATTTGTCGATTTTTCGGTTTTTCAATTTTTAAATTTTATAATTTCGAATTTTTTGATGTTTGAATCTCTCCATTTTTCAATTTTGCGATATTTTAATTGCTCAATGTTTTAAATTTTAGATTTTTGGAGTTTTCAGCTGTTCGGTATTTTTATTCTTCAATTTTTCGATTTTTCAGCTTTGCTTTTTTGGTGTTTCGATTTCTCAATTTTTAAAATTTTTTAATTTCTCAATTTTTGGATATTTTTGTCAGTTTTTAGATTTTCCAGTATTTTGATTAAACTTTTCGATTTTTCGACTTTTAGATTTTTCTATTTTTCGGTTTTTTATTTTTTGAATTTCCAGCTTTTCGTTGTTTAAACTTTGGATTTTTCAATTTTTCGACTGTTTTGTATTTCCCATTTTCCAACTTTTCGATTTTTAATTTTTCAATTTTTAAAATTCTAAATTTTTGAATTTCTCGAGTTTTCAATTCACCCATATTTTAATTTTTCAATTATGTGAATTTAAAAATTTTCGATTTTTCAATTTTTTCAGATCTCGATTTATCGAGTCGGATGTTTCGATGTTTTGATTGTTCAGTCTCTCGATTTATCAATTTTTCCATTTCCGACTTTCCGATTTTTCGATTTTGTTCTAAGTATTTTGGTCTCTCAATTTTTCGATTTTTCGATTTTTGAATTATCCGATTTTTCAATTTTCAAATTTTTTAAATTTTCGAGTTTTGATTTCTCAATTAATCTAATTTTGTTTCCCATTTCTCGACTTGCCAAAGTTTCAATTGTTCAGTTCTTCAGTTCTTCAATTTTTCAATTTTTTAATTTCCAAATTTTTGGATATTTCATTCAATTTTGTGATTTTTCAGTTTTTCGATTCTTCAATTCTTCTTCTATTTTTCATTTTTTCTATATTTCAGTTTTGGGAATTTTTAGTATTTTGACTTTTCGATTTTTCGAGTTCCGGATTTTTCGATTTCTCGACTTTTTACTTTTTGGATTTTCAATTTTTTGTTTTTTAAACTTTAAAGTTCTCAGGCGACGTCATTCTCTTTCACGAACTGGTGACATCACTTTTTAGTTTAAAAATGGTTTAGGAGGAAATTAAAAATACACCTGACCTGTTTATAATTTATTCAATCACTGCCAACGGTTTCTATATTTTTGAGTTTATGCAGTAAAGAAAGTTCTGGAAAAATGTTCACTTTTCAGTGTTTTCAGATGCTCCGATTGAACTCTTTTGAGGCTTTATAACCACAATTTATTTTTGAAATTTCGATGCGCCGTTGCCACGTTATCCCTATTTTTTTAAATTTTTTAGCAATATTACGGGTCTAGAAAAAACAACAGTTTTTTTTAAACCTTTGTTACATTATTTTGTGGAGAGACAAATAAAGGTACCTATGCGTTTTGCCGTGGTATAAATAGAAACGAGTCTGAATATACAGAGTGCTTTACCAAAAAATAAATTTTTATAATTGTCGATCTAAAGCAAATGACGATTTTTTAATATAGAAACCTAAAATTTTCAAAATCAATGCAATAATTGAGTATTCCTAAGAAATCAGAGTAATTGCCACCTTCAAACCAGTTTCTAAATTTTTCGATAGACAAATAAATAAATAAATAAATAAATAATATATAATAAATATTCTCATTTTCAGAGACGTAAAACAAAACAGAGTAGATTGAAAAATGCAGCACTATAAACATTATTATCAATAGTAATACGCCGAGGGACCGGCGATATTTAAAAAAAAAATTAAGAAGTTATCACAGATAATCTGAGATCTTCGAGCGGTATTTTGGCAGATTATTTTCCGAACAGGATGCCCTCCAAAGAGTTAAAATGTTATTTTTGTTAGTTCTTGAGACGAAGAATTAGGGACGTTATTCTAAAAATAATAATCCTTTATACGATTACCCTATGTGACGCAACAGAGATTTATAAAAGCGCAAAATATAAATATGCCATAAGTTGTTAATATTTTAAAACCGCATCGAATAGACGGGCGTCGAGTAATAAATTGGTAATAGGAAAAATAAATTGGATATACATAAAACTATATTACTAATTTAAAAAGAGTCACGTACTTAAGTGAATCGAGTAGAATTCCCAAACAAATTAAAAAAAAAACTCAATTTACTTTATTATTTGTGAGAATAGACACCAACATAGCCGACGTATCCTCTCAAGCCTCGCTCGATAAACTTAATTACATAAAAAAATCGCCATCGGGTGCGCAATAACCCGTTTAAACCCCCCATTATCGCCACACCAACATTCACCGAATGGGACGTTTTAGCGGCATGAAAGCGGAGCGAATCCGCCGGATTGATGTACGATCCCTGTAAGTGGTGCCAGGGCATTTTTGTTGTTTATCCAGCAATGTTATCTGCTGTTGTGATAAATCTTACCGGTTAATTGGACGCTCTTTCTTGTTTTTCCCAGTTGATTATCCGCCACGCAAGTGTAATTTCCAAAGTCGGAACGATGTACTTTGCGAATCACGAGCGTATGTCTGGATCCGCGTGACTCCATTATTCTTCTTTCTGTTGTATCCAGCTGCATCGTGTCTCTGTACCAGAGCACCTGGAAATGAAATACGGAAATAATTAACAAGGGATTTGCCAAAAATTACAGTTTCAGCTCGGAAAGAATGGGGTGAGGATACAATGCTGGTTGCCGGCTTGTATAGGAAAGGAGAAAATAAAGCAGAAGTGGGAAAACGGGCGGTGGCTTTTTATTAGGTTAGAAAAATGGGAGGTTGGGTGTGGGATGTTGGACGGCTTGGGGGATTTCCGGGATGGAAAAGCGTTAATTATGTAAAGTAACCAATTTCATAAAAACAATTTATTATTATTATTATTATTATTATTAATAATGATAATAGAACTATTTTGTAGTAAAGGACGCAAGTCTAGCTTTTGCTATTCTACTTACTCTAACTGTATGTGAACAAACGAAAAATATACAGAAAGGAGAAATAATAAAACCACTATATTCAGATTTCAAATAAACAATATAGTGTTGATAAAGTTCAGCACAAACTTCAAAATTCCCCTAATACGAGTATAAAGGGCAACGTTATCAAGGAAACTTCAAGTCAGGTCAAGTCAGGTCAGATTAGCTTAGGTCAAGTCAAGTCAACCAGGTCAGATTAAGTTGGTTTAGATCTATATTTTTTCCAAACTTATTTAAGAATTCAATTCTTATTTCTTCTACAATATAATTTCTGATTTTCGAACGTTTTAGAATATTCTCCAAAATCCGCTATCAATTCTATTGCTTTGATAAAGGATTTGCTCGATACTATTGCTTTTTTTCCTTGCTATAATTTTTCTGCATGTGATTTTCAATACATATTCAACTTGCTATAATTTTTCTGCATTATCAATAGACTATTTTTCTATATATCGTAAGGGTGGTTTTGTTAAAATAGTATTATTATTTATGGAATTTCGGAACGCGGTTTTCAACACTGTTTTTAGTTTACAAAACTCCAGAAATTGCACCAGATATATCGTCGAATTTTTATTGTAAGGTTTCCTAGTTTTGATCATTTTTTGTAAAAGTTAGTCATCAGTTCTTGGTAAGATAAAACTAATTTTGATAGACGACATACTTTCAAAGAAACGAGAGGGTGGGTGGGCGGGGCTAGTGGCTGCTAAGATAAGACTGATTTTGGCAAATGAGCTACCCTCTAAGAAAAAAGAGGGCGGGTGGGCGGGGCTAGTACTTGCGAAGATAAAACTGATTTTTAAATGACGTATCCTGTAAAAAAATAATTAAAGTATTATAAGTCCTTTATTATCTTATCATAGCCAAAATCCTATCATTATCAAAATCAATCTTATCTTAGGAAGTGCTAGCCCCGCCCACTCGCGCTCTATTTTTATAGAAATATGTCATGTTCCAAAATCAGTCGTATCTTATGAAGTACTAGCCCCACCCACCTGCCCTCTATTCTCTTAAATGGTATATCATCTGCCAAAATCAGTCTTATCTTAGCAAGTACTAACCCCGCCCACCCGCCCTCTATTTTCGTGGAGGGTATGTGATTTTCCAAAATCAATCTTACCTTAGCAAGTGCTAGCGCCGGGGAATCTGAGTAAACATTAAAAAAAGCGTATACCATGAAAACCCGATTACTTGCTTATAAGAAAAAGAAATTAATTGAAATGACTTCAAGTTCATCAATTTTGTAACATTTTTGAAAACAGCTTTAGAAAATAATGAATGATCGTCTCATGAATAGCCAATGGACTCATCACAGGAACAGAATTAAATTTGGCTAGAATATAAGTATTCTAAAGTACGTTTTTTTATTAAAAGTTAAAGTTTGTCCAGAATTATAAGAATTTTATGGACTCCCAAAGTTAATTCGTTTTACAGTCCTGTTGTCAATTTTATTGTACAGCTGAAGAGCGGGGTGAACTCAGGTACAGAAAACATCGGCTTTCCCCTGACAGGCACTTTACCTGTACAATAGAATTGACGCCTGGGCTGTAAAATAAATTAACGTTGGGAGTCCATAAAATTCTTATAATTCTGGACAAACTTTACTGTTGCTGTGTTGGTAACATAAAATTTCCCCTCAAATTTCTGGATCTTCTTCTTTCTTCACTGGACTGCATTCTCTCTAAATATATCCATTTGCTGCCATAATGGTAAAAAAATAATCAAGGAGCAACTCGAATTTGTAGAAGGAAGATCAGTATGTATCAAAAGACTATTGATAACTGTAGAAAGGGTAAATGTTATATCTACTGACTTTCCAAAAGCTTTTGATCGCGATTATCGGAGTTTGTTTATTCCAGAAAATAAAAATTTAGATTATTCTGATAAATTGCTTTTAAGTATCACTATGTAGAAAAGAATTTGTAGAATATAAATTATTAAATAAGACTTATACCAGTGCAAGAGTGGAATGGTACAAGGATTTAACTTAGACCCAGTTATGTTCATTATTTTTGTAAATGATTAATTGTAAGTCTTTGTCACATGCAAATAGTTTAAAGCTTTGTAGAACTGTTGATAATGATAAGATTTGTTATTTATTACAATATACTTTCAATGCTTTATTTCTTTAATGTTGAATAGATAGTGGAAAATTTAAGGTTTTTATTTAAACTAAAAGGAAGAAAGTTATTTTTTTAACTTGTTGTCTGGAATTTCGAGATCTGGGTGTAATAATGGATGCGAAATTGTCATTTGTGTAATAAATACATGGATCACTTCGAAAAGTGGAATTAAAATGCTTGGCTTTATTGTTAGATCAACGATAGAATTTAGAAATATTGATACAGTAGAAATGTTTTTCCAAAATCAAAATCAAAATTAAATTAAATACTTCATGGTATTGTTAAAGATTAGTGATTAGAACAGATTATGTATTCAAAGCAGGTGTTAGATCATCCCCAACTTTTTATTAAGACATTTCTAGCACTGTCATACGACTTTTTTTTTGTAATTTCCAGACTTATTTAAGAATCCAATTCTTATTTCTTCTAGAACATAATTTCTGATTTTCGAACGTTTTAGAATATTCTCCAAAATCCGCTATCAATTCTACTGGTTTGATAAAGGATTTGCTACTATTGGTTTTTTTCCTTGCTATAATTTTTCTGCATGTGATTTTCAATACATTTTCAACACGTAATATCTGCATTGTCAATAGACTTTTTTTCTATATATCGTAAGGGTAGTTTTGTTAAAATAGTTTAATATCATTATTATTTATGGGAATTTCGGAACGCGGTTTTCAACACTGTTTTTAGTTTACAAAACTCCAGAAATTGCATCAGATATATCGTCGAATTTTTATTGTAAGGTTTCCTAATTTTGATAATTTTTTGTAAAAGTTAGTCATCAGTTCTTGGTAAGATAAAACTAATTTTGGCAGACGACATACTTTCCAAGAAAAGAAAGGGTGGGTGGGCGGGGCTAGTGGCTGCTAAGATAAGACTGATTTTGGCAAATGAGCTACCCTCTAAGAAAAGAGAGGGCGGGTGGGCAGGGCTAGCACTTACTAAGATAAAACTGATTTTTTAAATGACGTATTCTTTAAAAAAAATAATTAAAGTATTATAAGAAAGGAGACTAGAGGGTCCAAAGCACTTTCAAATTCTTTTAAAATCATTTTAACTCCACCAAAATGTGAGAAGGATTTTTTTTTTGCTATTTTTCCGAATCTTGTCAAATTTTATCAGAGATTTAAGAATATCGTGTAATTGATAAAACGCTAACCACAATTTGACTAACCATCCGCAGCAATAATTTGATGACGTTCCCACATACATTACGCAGTAAAGGTTATCCAAATTTAATGAAACAACTTACTCTTGTACTCGTGGTTTATGAATCCGTCTTAAATTGTATCACAATTACTTTACAAAAATTTTTTTCCTGTATATTTTCCATGTATTTCATGAAACCGCTATTATTGAATTATTATTTATTATTCTCTTCCTGTTTTCAAACCAGTCTGTGTTTCTATTGTTTTTTTAGATTCAGCAGTATTTCAAAAGTAATTCCACCATATCCTGTTGACTGTTCGTGCTTTTGTTATCACATCTGTCTTAAATATTTCTTGTTCTGATCATTCTTTTCTTCTTCTGTATTTTCTTCTTTGTCTTGATTACCTTCATGTCCCATATTTTTTTGATTTACACAAATTCTATCATTTTTTGACTTTTATATGTGCTTCTTTCCTGTTTACTTTCCTTAATTGCTTTTAATGTTTTTTAGATAAACTTCTGGCCTCCATGTTTGTCTTGCTTCATTATTTCCTCTGATTCTTCTCAAGTTTTGTGTTTTGCGCTTTCCAAGATTTCCTATACATTTTTTTGTTTACTATTTCTGTTTCCTGAATAATTTTTATACGTATATTTTTAGCTAGCTGCTTTGTTTTATTTCTTTATTCCTCATCGGGTATACTGTAATAGGGTTCATCCGGCGAATGCCTACTTTCATGTTTTCTTGACGTTTCATGAATTAAAGCATTATTTAAATTTTATAAAATAACGTCCTCCTGTGCTTACGACTTATGGATTGGCTTTCATTTTTATATAGAAGGACATAGACATTTATGTAGAAGGATATAGAGAGATTTAGAAGAATATAGGGGGATATGGAAGGATATTGGTAGATATAGAAGGAGGAAAACGAATGTAGCATTGAAGGATATATAAATCGAGAAATCCAAAAAATTTTAAATTTTTGATAAAACGAAAATCGAAAATCGAAAAAACGGTTTCGAAAGATATAGGTGAATAAGGAAGAATAATGAAGAATATAGACCCACATAGAAGGATATAGACCAATATAGAATGATATAGTAGGATACATATGGATATAGATGAAAAGAGAAGAGTATCGACGGATATAGAAAAATATTAAAATTATGGATCGATATATAGAGATACACTCGTAGACGGATATGGTAGGTTCTAGACACAGAAATCGAGAAATCGAAAATTCGATGATTAAAACATCAAAAAAAAAAACGGATATAGAAGGATTTTGAACAATATAGACCGATGTAGAGAGAAATAGACTGATATAAAAGGATGTAGAGGAATATAAACCAA